TGCTACCGCGTGATATTGATGCTTCTCAAAATCACTTTGGATTCATGTCGGGTAGGTCGACTATGGAAGCCATACATTTATTAAGAGGTTTGATGGAGAAATATAGAGAAAATAAGGATGATCTACATATGATATTTATTGATTTAGAAAAAGCATATGATAAAGTTCCAAGAGAAGTGCTATGGAGAGTTCTTGAAAAGAAAGGAGTTAATAATGCTTATATTCAAATCATTAAAGATATGTATGCAGGAGCTATTACTTGTGTTCAAACACAAGGTGGATTGACCAAGTATTTCCCTATTTCGGTTGGGTTACATCAAGGATCAGCCTTAAGCCCATATCTTTTTGCTTTAGTCATGGATGTTCTCACTAGACATTTGCAAGAGGATGTACCTTTGTGTATGCTTTTTGCTGATGATATTCTTCTTGTTGATAAGACTAGAGAGGGAGTTGAAGGTAAACTTGAATTATGGAGGTCAACCTTAGAGTCTAAAGGTTTTCGCTTGAGTAGATCTAAAACGGAATATATGGAGTGTAATTTTAGTAGTAATAGACCTAGTGAAATGAAAATAAGAGTATGGTACCAAGTCATTAATAAGAGTACACGTTTTAGATATCTTGGATCTATTGTTCAGAGTGATGGTGAAATAGATGGGGATATTATCAGCAGAATTCAAGTTGGATGGTTGAACTTGAGGAATGCATCGGGCTTGTTATGTGATAGAAATGTACCCCTCAAACTTAAGGGAAAATTCTATAAGATGGTGGTGAGGCCTGCAATGCTTTATGGTGCCGAATGTTGGCCATTAAAAGAGAAGCATAATACTAAGTTAAGTGTGGCAGAGATGAGGATGCTCAGGTGGATGAGTGACTTTACCCTTAGAGATAGGATACGAAATGAGCATATACGTGAAAAGGTTGGAGTAGCTCCAGTAGAAGATAAGATTAGAGAGAATCGCCTTAAATGGTTTGGTCACATAAAACGGCGGCCTTCCGATGACCCGGTTAGGAGAGTAGAGGTATTAGATTTGACTTATGTTAAGAAAGGTAAGGGTAGACCTAAAAAGACTTGGTTATAAAATATTACGAATGACCTTTCTTTATTAGATTTAAACGAGAATTTGACTTTTAATAGGACACAATGGAGAAAAAGGATTCATGTTGCCGACCCCACGTAGTGGGATAAAGGCTTGATGTTGTTGTTGTTGTTGTAGCTGCATCAAAGGGAGTCTTTGTCTTAGAATTTGAGAAATCCTTCTCTTTCCATCCATGACGCCTCTTTGGTTGTCATTATTGTTGAACCATCAATAGCCTTTGATTCTAGCATTACCCCTCGTCGGCTTTCCTCTGCCCGAATGAGAGAAATGGTTTCATCTACTGGTGTTTCCTCTTTATCAATGATCTAAACTCTAACCTGATCAAACTCCATATTTAATCCTATAAGAAAGTCATACACTCTATCTTTTTTAATAAAATTTTTCAGAATAGCAGCATATTCCGAACACTTGGTCTATAAGCATCTGTAGTGATCAAGTTCTTGCTACAAACTTTACAGGAGAGTGGCATATTTTGTCACAATCTTGCTTCCTTATTGTGCTTCCTATCTTAACCTTAATCTCAAAGATTTGAGTAGCATCCTGAGCTTTTAAGAATGTTTGTCTGGTGGCATCCCATATGTCCTTTACAAGAGAAAGGAACATAAAGTTTCACTAATTTCTAGAGTCATAGAATTCCTCAACCATGACATAATCATGGAGTCTGCTTCATCCCAAACCCAAAAATTAGGATCTCCTTCTTTTGATCCAATCCCAAGGAGGTGATTCATCTTTCAAATCCCTTTCAGATAGGCCTTCACAAATTAGGACCACTTCAAGTAGTTCTTCCCACATAAGCGATAGAAAGGTTGCATGTTTTGGAGATCTCCACCCCTTTGTGCACCATAGAGTCCTCTATTTGTTTAAAGCTTTAAGAAGAATTAGCTTCAGACATTGCGGCGACAAGTACGGCTCTCAAAATCGAAGCAGTTCGACTTCGCTCCTGGGACGATGTTTTCTACTTTGCTCCTTTGGACGACGTCCCCTTCCGGTCGGATCGCAAGTTACCTTGATCGGAAGCAACGACGGGAGTTGGCTCACTGTGAAGAACTTTCTCTGTTTCATGCGCTTCTTCGGCAAAATCTCGTATATAAGCTGATCCGGGTCAAAATCAGGTCATTATCGGGTTTCCGGGTCAACCCGAACCCGACCCGGAATTTGAAACGGTTTGAAAATCAGGACCCGGACCAGAACTGTTTTGAGTTCGGGTTGACCCGAACCCAACCCGTTTCGAGTTCGGGTTGACCCGAACCAGAAATTTTCGTGTCGGATTCGAGTTGGGTTTTCAGGTCATGTCCAATATTGACACCCCTAGCGACAAGGGGTACCAATAAAGGCTATTTTAATCAAGCAGTAGGTGCAATGCATTAATGAATGCTATGTTTGCGATAGTAGTAAAAAACAATAAGTAAAGGTTGGCTATGAAGGCACGACAGTAAAATAAAAAATTTGTTGTGATAGGCTTTAGGGATGCACAAGAGGCTCCAAACTTTTGCAGTTTGCCCCTTCTTGCTTGGTCCGGTCCAAACATGCGTACGAGAGGTAGCTCTCGATCCAGACGCATCACAGAAAGAGGTCTTAGGTTCGACTGCTTTGTCCGATCCTCTTCCATACTCGGATCGTCCACATGCTTGCACATAGGAGGCCTCTGCTCAGCTTGAAATCCCCAAACACTCGATCGATCTCAATCGTACGCGGGAAGATCTCTTGATGCATGTTGAATTCCCGTTGGGCTGGTCACACGCACACCACTTGCTCAGCACCACTCCGTATGTTCTTCTCCTTTTACTTGTTCGGCCCTCATGTAGGCAAGTACGAGAGAATACTCTCATCTCCACTTCTTTCGATCTGTATATCCCAGCGATTCCGGCAATGAAGGCCAGTGGAAGAACTAGTATTCCTCATAATTCCGACAATGAAGATCGGTAGTGCGAATCTGGCTTTGATACCATGTTAAATGCAGAGAATTGGAGAGGCAAAAACTTAATTTTATTGCACAAATTTGTCCCTATTTATAGATATATACAATATATCTTAATAAAGAAACAAATAATTAAAAATCATGCATAATTGCCCTAATATAATCCTTCCTAAATCAACCACATAAATATGGAAGGAGATCGGCATGATCCAGGTGAGCCTCCCACGGATCCTCATCCTAGCCGTGGGATCAAGTGTCAAGGGACGGCTGGAATTTAACAAAAACATGATAAAGTTCATTATCCTTCAAAATTATTTTGTACAATAGCATGCTCATGCTTGCATAAATTCAGACAGCACTGACATGTGGGAAGAAGTTGAATGCAGAGTCTTAAAAGACACCACTATATCCCCTATAGCCTCTGGGTACTTAGTTAATCCATCATCGTTCGAAATTTATTAAAAAAAAAAGTAAACCATGCTAATTAGAATCAATATTGGATTCACACAATGAGCAGAACAATGTATTAAAGCGCCACCAGGCTAAGCCTAATACCCGACTCAAGGAGGAGACTCCATATATCAGATAACTTTGAGCAATATCATTAACAACAATTCATGCTCTAGTAAATGAATAAATCATGCCAGAATTTTATGTCTAAAAGCAGTCAATTCTTAACTAATCAAGACAACAAGCCAAACACTGTAAGCCAATAAGCAGAGAATGCTATAAATTAATAGAAAACCCACCAAAAATACTCTTCACGATCATGTTATATGCATGAACCAACTGTTTTCGTTGTTCATATTCACTTGCAGTCGGAAGCAGGCTGGCATAAACATCAAGAAGCAAGGATTCAAGTTCGAACATAAAAGCAGGATGAAATTTTCTCTCCTTCAATTCCTTTAACTCCAATTTTGATGCCTTCTTGCAAAGATCTAGATTAAAGGAAGAAGAGGCAGATGATGAAATAAATGAACAGGCCAAATGCACCACCAACGAAAAATCATAACGTTTTATTTTTAGCATGCAATGTTTATTTAATCTAAATTTCCTAACAGAAACTAAATTCAAGGAACTGATGAGTATTCACATTCAGTTATGTTATTCATAAATTCATGAAATTCACAGGAATTTGAGCCCACTTTAAATGCCAATCATTGATTCTCCGTGCATTGCTAGCTCTAAAACAAAAAAAAATGATGATTATGCCATTCTGATGAAGATGGTTAACACTTAAAGCTAGCACTAAAATTGACGACCAAAACCCCATTAGATGTCTATTACCACTGTACAAATTTATCTATTTTGAACGTCAAACAAAACAACAACCTGAAAACCAAGAAAAACTTTGAGATAAATATATAAAAGATGACAGATTAGTCATCTATGTACTTATATATCTGTTTTTATGTGAGGCAAAAATTGAAGAATTGAATATGATACAGATGTAAGTAATAACAAAGCCAAAGATCATGAGAAAACATATCTCGGAGTTGTCTGTTCATTAATTTCGAAAAAGCATTGTTGTCTGCATTGTATTGATATCACATTTTCAAAGATATCGATGATGGAAGTACAACTTAATCTGTTATTTCCTGATTAATATTATTGTCGATACAGATAATGATGCATCAACCAGCCTAACTCAAGCTAGAACCAACTGTGGTGGTTGTCTCTACCTTTAACCTACTCTATCTTTTCCTACGACTATATTGGGGAATTATTCATTCTTATCAGCCTTGTATGTTTGTTTCCAAAATCGGACTCCTCAGCTGCCCTTTGAAAGAGGTTGTTGCCACATATATGTAATGATAATATTGGCCCAATGAAACAGCTAGACAATTATTATCCAGGTGTCTTTGTATCTTCCTTTCCAATTGCCCAGCTCCAGTCAAGAAGAATCCTTCCTCTACAATCTACTTTCTATTTTACCTATCCCTGCACCAATATCAAAGCCCGAGTGATGATTGACAATGGAGGCAATGGACATCGCAACACAGATGAAAATCTCATTGTGCAGGCCCTGCGGAAACCCTCAATACGTTCACCCTCCCTGAACATAGAAAATATTCTTGCTATAATGAATGGAGAAACATCATCAATAACTAAAAGAACATCTCGTTACCAAACAAGACCATCGCCTACCAAACTAGGACATTCAAAAAGCTTCTCCAAGAAAACACTCAACCCAGTGAAGGTCGCAGCATGAAGTACAATTCAAAAATGCAGCTAGGTCATATTTTGATACTTCATCAAAACATTTTCAGAGTGCAAAGTTTCGAAATTACAAACAGATGCTGTCCTCAAGATGTTAATCAACACCGTCATTACCAGCAACACTTCAACGTTAAGTTGGGCACATGCATATTGAAGACTATCTCAATTGGCTCAAGTCCGTAAAAACCATCTTTGTATGGAGATGCATGAAGAAAAAAATGTTAAATTAGTGCCTCATAAACTCAAAGTTGAAGCAGCTACTTGGTGGTAGCAATCACAAACAGGTCGCCATTGGGAATGCAAACTTCCAATTCATTCATGGAAAGGATAAATAAATCGATTAGGGAGTGATTTCTTATCATTCGCTATGATCGGATCCTATACAATCAATACCAACAAAGTCAACAGCAAGGGCATCATATCAAGGAAAAATAAAGAGAGTTTTATCATTAGAATGCTCAAGTTGGCCTCCATGAACAGGAGCAACATCAAGTGTCATGTTATCTCAGCGGGCTAAATGAGTAGCTTTGTAATTAACTGTCCTTTCAGCCCATTTGGCAGCTCTCTAAAGCTGTCAATTTGGCCTACAAGGATGAAACTAGCTAATCTCAACAAGCTAGCCAATTCTCCACCAGCCGAAAGTCTCTCAGCCAAACTCGAAATAATAAAGTGCAGCTCCAGTTCGAGCCAACAAATTATGAACCCTCTCCTCCCAGGTTCTTCAACCACATAACATGCAAACAGCACTCCCACGATAGTAGATGGGACTCAATCACATCCTGCTAAGAGGAATCCACATGCTCGACCTTCGGCTATCCAATGCTACCGTTCCAACCAAATAGGTCACAAGTATACTGAGTGTCCACAATGGAAAGCCTTATAGAAAAAAAGGCAACAGCGATGAAGATAAAGAGTGAATTGGGTATGGTGAGAAGACTTGGAAGAGGTTGAATTCATTGAAGGGGACTCGGCGAAACCATAACCTGCATTATTGAGCTACTCCTCGCAAAGTAACAAGGATCAAATCAGCCACTTCCTTTTTTCATACGTGTTAGCAATGTAATCACAAATAACAAAAGCTGCCTTGGTGTCCAAGATTCTAGTTGTGAAACTCCTTAAGTAAAAAGAAGCTAAACTCTTAAACATCAAGGCACCTTTTGGTGTAATAGTTTAAATTTCATTAAGAAACTTCGTAGTTAAGTGTCCTCATCCTGGACAAATTATGAGATGCATGACCTCCTGGGAAGTTAAACCAACATGACAAAACCATGAGGTCCTTAGGCCAAAGTGGACAATATCTCGATAGTTAAGAGTTTGGGCTATTTTAAATGGTATCAAAGCAATACACCAGTCAGAAGATGAGAATTAAGTGTCATACAAGACAAAGTAATACTCATGGAGCCACCTCTTGAACCCTATATGAAACAAAGTGCCACGTGGAAGGAGTCACCACTTGAACTTGTAGGGGCCACCTCTAGAATCCTAACAACCTGGTGGATGATTCTGGAATAAATATATTGACGATGACATCAATTACTTAAGTGGTGAAGATTCCAAAACCCTTAAGCAAAAAGAACATTGAGGCGCCTTAGGCGCCTTTTGCAGTAATGGTTGAAATTTCATTAAGAAACTCCACAGTTAAGCGTGCTTATCCCGGGAAAATCCTGGGATGGGTGACCTCCTGGGAAGTTACACCAACATGACAAAAAACCATGAGCCCTTAGGCCAAACCGAACAATATCTCGATAGTTAAGAATTTAGGTTTTTACATTGGTTAAGGTACTCCCACCTTCGAACTGAAAACCAATCTCACTAATACAAAATTGGTTGGATCACTAAAGGCAATGAAACATGACTCGAAAAGGTCAATCATGTTCCATTCTCCATATGGCAATATTATCAAAACAAAATCCTTTGTAACTTTTTGAATATGGAAGCGTATCACATTCCCCTTAGCTAGCCATGATAGTATGCTATAGATGAATGTCACTAGAGAACAGTTACTCATTTTGGTGGAAGGATACAAAAATTGTCTTACCACCACTCATCATAAAAATAGAATAGCCATCAATCCCGTCCCTAAATGCAATGAGAAGCATCAAATTTTGTGTTGTTTAAATCAAAACCATATGGTTTTACTCCGTGCAACCAATGCTTCTTATTTCGTAGAAGATTGCATGTTCACTAAGTTTGAAGAGTATCAAAACGAGCTTAAACCCCCCTCCCCCCTCACTCTAACCAACACAACCACAAACACACAACAAAACGCAACATTCAATATGCTCTATATGAATTCCTTCCTCTTAGAAGTGTACAACATCAGGTTGATTTCCCCCCTCAAACTTGTGCAATCTTCATCATTATCACATGAGTCACAAAGACCATGAGGCATTATGAAATATCACCAACAACTTTCCAACCAAGTTGTATATTCAGGTAATCCTAAACCTATGCGCTTTACCAGTACTACTAGTTCCCAAAAAAGGTGGAAGTTAGTGCACAGGGTGGACAATCAAGGCATCAGACAAGATCACGGTAAAGCATTGATTTTTTATCCCATAACTAGGAGACTTGATAAATTTGGGGGCTCCAACCTTTCACCAAGCTTAAGTTGAAGTGGAGTTATCAACTAGTCTACATTCGACTTTGGGATGAATGAAAAATGGTATTCAGAACTAGAGGTACCTCTTTGAGTGGCAAGTGATTTTGTTCAAACTTTGTAAAGCTCCAAGCACTTTTATGAGTCCCATGTCTGAGTCATTTAAGCTATTTATTCAACAATGTGTTGCCCTTTACATTGATGACACGTTAATTTATAACAAGAAAAATGAAGAACATCTTACATACCCTTGAACAAGTTCTGGTTTTCTAGAACAAAACAAGTCCTAAATTGAAGAAATGTCTTTTCACTCCTCAAGTTTATTCCTAGGCTACGTCGTTGGAAGTGAGGGCATTCGGGAGGCTGAAGAGTGGCTGACCCAAACTAATATTCATGTGGTATTAAGCTTTGTTGGCCTCTATACATATTTTGCACTCAATCGAGTGCATCAAAGAAGGCGACTAACATATATGTCACTTATCACGAGCATCGGGACACCACGATCGCTATTAAAATGGCTCAAAATATTATCAGATAGTGAAATAGATCACCCTGATGTGCTTAGGACACTAAATTTGCCAAAGAAGAGTCATTCGTGAGCAACTCAAATGGAAATGACGACGAGCGTGATTTGTTGGCAAGCGCAACGCTAGCAAAAACTACACAAATGACCTCCGAATATCAAACGAATTGCACTAAAACAATCAGAGCATCAAATTTGCTTTATGGAAAATCCCTCACAGTTGAATTGGGAGAAGGTGGTCGACATCAACGGTATATAGACGGAAGGTTGCGTGACGTTGCCCAAGCATTGTCAAGTTGAAAAGCGGACTTGGGCATTGTATCCAGACGTTCAAATCATATAGAAAAGACTGTAATATTGCCCAGGTCATCGTACAATGCATATAGATGAAGTTGGCACGAGTTTCGAGGTGATAGTGCATGAAACTGTCAAAATAACATCCCGATCACAAAGCGGGCTTCACCGTTACACTTAGAATATCAAAATTACCCAAGGAATAACCGCTCGCGATTAATTTGAGCGAGCATGATCGAAATCGACAGACTACGGATGAAACATAGTGCGATGTCGCCCAAACATCGTCTATTGCAAAAAAG